ACTGGGTGCAACAGAGATAGGGCTGGGTCTCTATCGTCAGGAGGGATTGCTTGCAAGTTTACTGTCTGATTCATGAAAGGGGTTGTGGGAACCATCGGCATGTAGCCAGGTCTCAGGCAATATGAGAGTCTGCTGGCCCTCTAGATACGTTTTATTAATGGTGAGGGATTGAATGTCCCACACCCTCTTGACAGAAGTGAGCGCAGTCAAGATGGCCATCTTCATAGAGAGGGAACTTAGCTCGACTGACTGTAAAGGCTCATTTCATATGAATCTCTCTGGCCTATAATGGCGCTTTTCCACTGCATGGTGGGGTACGGCACGGTTCGGTACGTACGGCACACTTTGGCACTTTTCCACTGCATGGTACGGTACGGCTCGGCTTGGTATGGCTCACTTGTGGCACTTTTCCACTGCATGGTATGGTATGGTACGGCTCGCTTCGGCTCACTTTAAATGGTACCACCTCTGTTTAGGTTCCAAGCAAACCGTACCGATACTAAAATGTTACGAACACACTGCAGACCACTGATTGGTCAGAGTCAGACAGAATCGTCACTACCGTCCACTACCATAAGCGTCATTGTATTTGTGAGACATCAAACCCGCTATTTAAATAGCCAGTAACAGCTACCGTTTTAGCACCTGTTTTAAAACTACTTGCTTGAAGAAAAAAGAAAGAAAAAAAAAATCCAAAACGAAATGGCTGAATCGTGGTCAGCGGAGGAAGTGCAAACGTTCCCCTTGTTGGTTACCGAGGAGCGGATAAACTATAAGATTATAATCCCACCCACTTTGAAGCAGTACTGCAGTGGAAAAGCAAACCTAAAGCGAACCGTGCCGAGCCAAGTCGTACCGCGCAGTGGAAAAGCGAAGCGAGACCACCGAGAGATCTCAAGAGGGTGTGAGGGGTGATCTTGGAGGAATTAATCACTGCACTCATCAGGAAAAACACCAAGCAACAAATAAGCCTCACTTCAAATCATATAGCCATCTCATTGAGGTTATTGTGTCTATCACCATTGGTCTCAGAATTCCTCATCCTGTCAAGGGACCACACATCGCGGGTTCTAGAGGTCTCGGGGCGCAGGTGACAGATGGTGCCCTTACCCGAGAAAGAAGGTCCTTCCTCAAGGGGATTTGCCAATGCATCAGTGGACAATGGGAGGATTCTTGGGAGGCAAACAGATCTACTTGTGCCTGGTCAAATTGACAAAATCAGCTGGACTGTGTGGGGATCTCTATTCTCCCTGGAGTGTAACCTGCCACAAGAACAAATCTGCTGCATGATTGAGAATGCCTGGAATGTGATTGGCCTGCTGAGACTTCAGTTTATGCTGACTACAGAGGAGGTGGTGGCGGGTGACTTGTGACAGGTAGTGGCGGGTGAGTTGTGATCAACATGTGCTTGCCCTGAATCAAGATTTGAAATTTCCTCAGGGCTAGAAGCACGGCCAACAACTCAAGGCAGTGTATGTGCCAGCAGTACAGCTGGGGCCCGTCCAGAACCTTGGAGCTGCATGCCCGTTGCATGGCACCCCAGGGTGTCTTGGATACGTCTGTTGTGACAGAAACGCATCTGGGTTGCTCTAAGGGAACTCCTGCCCACAGAAACCCAAGGTCCATGAACATGTGGCTAAGCCCCAGTGTTATGGTCAAACGATGTGTGCCATGGCCCCATGCCCTTCTCTGGACTTGGCATGAAGCCAGTGCTGAAGCGGCCTCATATACATCAACCCGATCAGCGTTACCGTGGCTGTGGGTGCCATATGCCCCTTGAGCCTCTGGAAGTATTTGGGACCTCAATGGGGCAAGGGCGACCTCTGGGACTTTGGCAAAGATGTGAGGAGGCAGGGACTGCCCAAAGGGACTTATCTTGTGTTGATATATACATAAAATTATGCGTACTTCAGGTTTATCGCGGCGAACCAATTCTGGGATGTCACACATGTTAGAATGTGTTTCAGAGAGAGCATTTTGAATGGAAACATATTACTAGAAGTTCCAGAATCAGTCTGAGCCCCGACCTCTCTTGCATATAATAAAGTTAGAGCTGTAAAATCTTTCCTTCATTTTGGCTGGTGATGACCACTCAGGACAACCTTGCAACTGCCTTGCAATGCCTTCACAACAACAAATACTGTAACATCCTTGCAGGTTGTTTCTAGGATGTTCTGTGTGCTTGCTAGGCGGTTGATAGGATTTTGCAATGCAGTCAGTAAGATGTTGCCATGTGTTCTGAATGGTTGCTTTGGTGTTGCCATGCAGTTGTTAGGGTGTTTTTGGTGGTAGCTTAGTGGTTGCTAGCGTGTTTTACAGTAAATGGTTGATAGATGGTTGCAAGGGAGTTTCTATGATGTTCTGGGAAAGTGCTAGGGTTTTGCTATGGGGTTATTAGGGTGTTCTGGGTGGTTGCTCAGTGGTTTAGTAGAGTGTTGAAATGCAGCTAGCATGTTCTCTGTGGTTGCTGGCCGATTGCTAAGGAGACAGACAGACAGACAGACAGACAGACAGACAGACAGACAGACAGACAGACAGATAGACAGATAGATAGATAGATAGATGGATAGATAGATAGATAGATAGATAGATAGATAGATAGATAGATAGATAGATAGATAGATAGATAGATAGATAGATAGATAGATAGATAGATAGATAGATAGATAGATAGATAGATAGATAGATAGGGGTGCAAAATAGTAATGCGATTTTTATCTTTTGTCTACTTTTATATTGTTTTTCTAAGAAATGATTTGAACAGCTGCAGCTCAGACATCATAAAATAGCATTACAGTTGTTAGGCTCACTGCCCAGAGCTGCCACAATTACAACCACACAAGCAACTCTTAGTTTAAAGAACTGGAATAACATTAACTTTAAAATGAAACGTGCATTTAAAACATCAAATATGTAATACTTAAAATAACATTGTTTAAAAATAGATCAGTTAGTCAGTGCAAATATCTTGTACAACATGCATAAAATGTATGAAGTGTATAGAGGGTGAAAGTGGGCCAGTGCCTTTTTACAAAAAAATAAATAAATAAACTGGGAAATATGAAAAAAGAGTGGTACGTCAGTAGGCCTGAACCATGCTTTCTCATCATACCTTTGATATGAAACCTAATCATGCATTAAAGATGAGGTGAAAGGTGTAATTATTAATTGAACAGCTCAAGTCCAAGTTTGTCTCTTCTCTGTGAGTAATTCGAAGTGATGAGTTTGTGGTGTGGAGGATCTCTGCTCCTGTCTTTCACATGACATCATTCTCCATCACTTCTTCAACTGACACTAACCAAAAATGCATGTGAATCTTGACAGAACATGAGTAACAGTACATGTATTTTGATGTAAATCTCAGCCTATTCAAAACAAAACTATATTACAAAAAATATATAACTGGGCATATCTAATATATGATCTAATTGAAGAAGTTTTCCTATTTCATTTGGCATGCTTTTACCATTAAAATACTTTTTAAAACTTATCTATCCATCATTTTACACAAGTGCTGGTGTAATTATTGAAATTCAAAGAACATCTTCTCTTTTAAATGCAACGTACTTTGCTTTTTATTTGTACAAGTCTAACTGAAGGTTACAATGTCAAATTGTTTTATTTGTAAAGGGAAAAAAATGAAATTCATGCACAAGTATATTTCAAGTTGCAAGGAGAAGCAGCAATTTATGTAATAGATTGCACAGGATTTTGCAGACTACTGCAGAGACATGAGATTTACTGTTAATATAATGGCTTTCTCCTCCCAGTTTTTTTTATCCTTTTACTCTCAGCTGTGACACCTGAGAAATAGCAGAGCAGTGTTTGATGAAGTATCATATATTTCCTTAGGCTGTAGTAGAATCATACCACACTGCTGGTGCTTGCATTTTTTGAGGTGCTGTGAATGATTAGGTGTCCATTAACTTTTTCCAATTGTCTGTTACATAGTTTATTATTATTATTTTTTTTAATAAAATGTTCAATTCAAATTGTTGCTATGTGTAGACCTATTTCTTTCAAATATATTTAATGAGTGGAATGAGGTGAAATTAAAAAAGGCCATGAAAAGGTAAGGTTATTTTCTTTGCTTGTAGTATCACACCACCCCCTGGTTGTACTCTGTCATTGCAGGTCTTTTCTGTGTAAAAATGAAATAAAATAAAATAAAATGCTTATTATAAACAGCATGCTTGCGAGAAGTGCAGACTGCAGAGTGGAGCAGAGATCTACATTATGTAACACTGAGCTGGTTTTTACATGAGCACTCTTTTCTGGACACTTTAAAGGAGAGCATTTTAAGACGTGTTCATTGCACAAATATAGGCTAGCTATTATTATTTCCTGTGCTGGTTTCGCTTAGCCACATGGCTTCTTTTAGACATATAATTTGCAGACACAGAGCTTTCGTCTGCTGTTACAGACTAACTAACTGTGTGATGATGAGAACATAAACTTATTTGCAAATGCTATAGGCCATACGCTATTTTTTATGTAGAACTATTTTATGTAGTAATTTGTTGAAAAATATTCATATTTATTTTGACATCTAAAAATTAAGTGCATACAAAGATGGTCAAACCAAACCAATGTTCCAACATCTTTTTTATATGAACTAACGTTACTGAGCCACATGTTGGCAAGCGACAAATATCCAAAACAATTTACATAATGAAAACATGTTTTACGTCCACACATCAGCCTCGTTTATAGTCCACTATCCATATAAAAAGCAGTATTCATCTGCTCAGTATATATATCCCCTGTAAGTTCCACGAAACACCTAGTTTTGCCATAGGAAATAATGTACAGACAACTTTTTGTCTCACACGCGCTTCCGTTCAGCTTCGTTCGAAGGACGTTTGAGGGGTTGCCATCGGTGACGCGTCCCTACGCAACCAGACCCCACCCTAGTTCTTGTATCTCCTCTTTGATTGGTGCCTTTAATCCAGGCCTTCAAAAACTCGCTAGATGATTGGTCAAATCAGCTGTCAATCTCCCACAAAAATCTATTTACAGTAGGTTGTGAGCGGATCAAGTGTATCCGTTCAGATTAATGCTGCATCTCACTGTAACTAAAAGCTTTTTCGAGGTGGATTTTGTGTAATTAACAGATATTGTGCACAGTATTTATTAGTTATTCCTCGGTGGAACGTTTTAATTTGTATTTTTTCATCTGCTGAAGCGGAAGATCCAGGAAAAAGATGTCTTCGGACGAAGACAGAGCGAAGGAGATTCTGAAGGGGTTTAAACTGTATCCTTAAGTGATGATGGGGCAGATTAGCCTGCTAGCTGCAAACCTCAAACTTACAGAACTTTACATCATAGCTAGGTAACGTTATCTGACTTCGGCCGTAAATCTGTATCCGGCAAATAATATAACGGTTTTGAAACCAGGAATATTGAGGATGCTGTAACTTGTATGTTATTGTTGATTACAGTTAGCAAACTGGAAGGTGAACTAGTTACATTATTATTTTATGCTTTTTTAGTCATAATGTTCAATTGGAATAATCTCCGTCTATAAACCCAAATGCTTTTTATTATATCAGACAAACTACAGGCTATATTTGCGTCTTTGGAGTTAGACTGTAAATTGACAGTTCATTTAAGATATACTAACACTTTTAAACACTTATTCAAGTGTTTAAACTGTTTATGAAATGATGAACTGTACCCTATGAAGCCTTTAGGCATTATGTGCGGTATGACAGTATTATATTTGCTATGTAATGTGTGAATAGATAAATCGGTGTAATTTCTCTAATCCAGAGATTATGTCTGCGTTACTCTATAAATTGTATGATTATGCTTGTTTTTGGTCATGTGCATACCTGGATTATTGACTTACTGGGATATGAATTGGAACTCCAGTGCCGTTATATTGCAATTATCATATCGTCCTTTCAAAGCAGTTTTACTTTTATTTGAGCATATTAGCATAAGGAACTAACTGGGATGCTGTTATTTGCTTTAGCTGGAAGTTTTGTTAATGGGGATTCTATGAGACTGACAGGCACCTGATTCTTGGGATCAGGTGCATTAGCCAGGTGAAATCTCCTCACACAGTTTGTGCCTGCCTGCCATCACGATTACATAACATTGGCTAGTGTTTCTATAATAGGCTCTGCAAATCTGACAAGAATAATCACACTAGCACCAGAACATCCTGATGGCGTGAAAGTGGTCTGAGAAACGGCTGTCCCGTCAGACACTGTTTTTCTAATATATCTTCAAGTAGACATGGGTCTACCCTGTGTGACCTTCTTTCGGAAAACAAGGGTGTGTCTTACAGGCTTGTAATTCTTAAATCCTTGATTTGAAAGGACAGGGATTTGCTGCCTTATGCTCCTCACATCCAACTGTGTGCTGCATAAGGCAAAGCTGTGGAAAATGATAGGTGACCAAAACTTATGTGAACATGCATCTTTTAATGAAAGGTTTGTGAAATGAGCGAAAGTTGGACAAGTCTGTAAGGAAATGTTTTGAACTTACCCTACTGTTCAAAGGTTTGGAGTCAGAAAGATTTTTAAATAAGTAAATTAATACTTTATTCACTAAAAGCGCATTAAATTAACACAGTAAGAGTGACAGTAAAGACTCTATTTCAAATAAATGCTGTTTTTTTTTTTTGGACTTTATTTATCAAAGAATCTTTCCGCATGCTTATTGAGCACCAAGTCAGCATAATAGAATGATTTATGAAGCATTATGTGAAACTGAAGACTGGAAGAATAGCTGCTGAAAAATCAGCTTCAAATAAATAAATAAATAAAATAAAAACATTATTATAGATTGCATAACATTTCATAATATTACTGTTTTTTACTATATGTTTGAACGAATAAGAATTGATGAGCAATGAGACTTCTTTCTAAAACATTAAAAATATTACTTTTTTACACCAAACTTTTGAATGGTATTGTATGGATGGATAAGACATTCAGATATTGTTAAATGTAAAATAATGGAACTTATATGGTAGTTGTTCACAGTATGCTGTACCATGGGCTAGAATGCCATAGATTTCACCACCTATGATTTGAATTTGACCTTTAATTTTAGAATAATGTTTTTATGCATAATATCTTGTATTGGTCCTGCATTTAAGTTTTGAGTTCAGCTGTTTTCACGGAATATGTGTCATCTTAGCACATCTCTTTTTAGCACTTTGAATCTGGTACAATGTAGTTACGCAGCAAAGACCAATTTCCAATGGTTGTTTCAAAGTTTCATGCAATTTTACCTCTAGGCTTTGTCATATCTACCTTGTGTGTTGTTTTTTTTAACCAGTGTGCCCCAGAGGTGACTACCGTGTGCAAAGCACAGTCCCTTGAGTAGCTACAAAAAACACTGACTTAATGAAAAAGATAGATATTGTATCTTGTCGTGTGCCAAATTATGTTTGTTAGAAGTGTTAGACAACGTAAAAATGAAAGCAGTGCTGCAGTAGCACAAGTATTGAGTAAGTGTATCTAGAATTTTGAAGTAGTGTGCATTTTGTTTGCTCACCGTGTCTTTCAAGGCTGGTTTTATGTTCCTGTGTCTTAGTTTATTTGGTAAAGCGTGAGGAGTACTAACACAACCTCCATTGCCATTATTTTTAATAAGTGAAAATGTAAAGCATGTGCTGGTGTCTTTTTTTTATACACTCTTTTGCACCAATAATAATAGACTGGAACTGGCAACAATGGAAGACTTTTTAAAAATGAATGTGGCTTCCATGAAAGCTTTGTCGCCGATGGGACTAATTACCTTGACGGTGACTGTGTTTGTGAGTAAAAGGGTCTCTCTCGTGACTCTCTCAGTGCATTCAGCAGGTGAGATCCCACAGACATCCGTCTCCAATAATGCAGTCACCTGGTTCATCAGAAACAGAGCCGAGCACTTTAGTGATTAGTTACTTATTTCAGGCATCTAAATTCAGGGTAAAATATATCACAGGATACAGCACATAAAAGAGCTTGGAAAGATGTATATTTTTATTTTTGGCCAGGCGAACTGGTGTCTGTCGTGCCTGTCGTGAATCGACTGTGTGTTTCCACAGACTTGAGAACCCCCTTTTCTGCAGTTGAAATGGTTGTTTGGAACGGTCGAGAATGGACAAAAGCCGGGAACCCACCCGGAACAGTGTCAGTGGGAAAGGGGTACTTGAGGCACCCTTGGAAGTTTGTTGAGTCTCCCTGGTTGAGAACCACTGGTCTAAATGATGTTTAAGCAATAAGCACATAGGAAATATCACCAACTTTAATTATTTTTTAGTTTACCACTGCATCATTTAATTTGGTTCCGTTTGGTTCTTTGGCAAAGGGGAAATATATCATCTCTCAGAGCTGGACTGAAAATGAATCCTGGGTCATGCTTTGGTTATTTGTGTCTTGATATTCATTTAAAGCATATTAATGGCCTAGTGTTTTCAGACGTGATTTCATGTGGATGAGAAACTTTTGGAAAACACTAAATTCACCTTACTGCGCATGCGTAAAACCTCACAAAAGCTCACTCATGATAAATACAGAAAAATAAATAATAAAGTTATCGCGCAGGTCTTCTTAAAGGATCATGCTATTTAGCAAAATATTGCACTATTGACTGATTTAAAAAAGAAAATTCACCAGGTCACACTCACTCGCCATTATATGTTTGGTCTAACACGCAAGGGCTCTCATGTATCGCAGCAGGACAGCACATCATCTTTGCAGGACTGTGATATGTAGAGTGTGCAAAGTAACATATTTTAGCAACAGTGTGAAAGTTAATAACACATACCAGGCACAAAACCGGTATAAACATGAATATCTATTGGTAAAATATGCATCACGTGACTAAACTTACGTCATCGTTTTTAAAAATGCCTTCGTTTTGAGGTATCCAGTATCCACTTTGGAGAGCGTTTTCAAAAAGCTTTATTTTTATTCATAAAACACCATCTTAGTGTGGAAAGAAGGCCAAAATGGAGAGAAAAAGATGAACTTATTAGAGTGGGCAAGGATAGATATATAAAATTGAGTCTCCTTAAAAAACATATAATTTAAATGAGAATAAAAAAATATGATTTTACAAATTATGGATAATTATTATAGATGTAAATAATACAGGGAAATGTAAAGCGCTTTGGTGGCCAATGTGAGGCAAATGTAAAGCGCTTTGGTGGCCATTAGGTCTATGAAGGCGCTATATAAATGCAGTCCATTTACCATTTTTAAATATATTCATATAATAATACAAATTATGTAAGTAATATAAATATTATATATTTATATAATTAAAACATTTTATTATGGCTGCAGTGTCACTAATTTTGTAGATTTTGTGTACATATGTTAACATACTTACTATAGTACTAAAAGTAGATTATGCATAATTACATTCAAGTAACCCCAATCTAAACCCTATTCCTAACCATAGTAAAAACATGTGATTACTCTGTACTTTAATGTTACACTGTTACATCGTAAAATAAAGTATAACATATCTTTTATGATGAGTCCTTTTCATTTCAACAGGAACAGATTTGGATTTTGGATTTAATGCTTGAAAGATAGATTAGGATTAGTGATACATGTAGCACACTTGTGCAGCTGTGCCTGAGATCCCATGAGGTTGGTAACTAGGGCCTGTACTGTGCACCTGTAATGACACATGCAGCTTTGTGTGAGTGTGTTCGACCTGCCTGAAAGACTCCTACAGGTGGTTTGAAGATGAAGAGGTCAGATGTCATTGACACAAAGTACTGGACATTGTCACCATCCATTGTTTAGCAGACAGATCAGGATGTTTTTAGACCTCAAGTGTGGTCGACTTCAGTTAGCTTGTTTGACTTATGTTTGATTTAAAACTAAAGCTGCTCAATGTATTGACCGGTACTCTTAAATTTAGACATCATTTAATGGATTAGTTCACCCATCACAATGCAAACCTGTAATACCCACTTTCCTCCATGGAACACAAAAATAATTGTAGCTGAATGCTTTTATGTAAAGATGCTCTTTCCCATCCAATGATTTGGTGGTCGAACAAGATATTCAGTGAATTAAACTTAAAAAATTTCCTCAGGTTTGAGGAAAACTTTCCTTTTCCTTTGTGGGAGGTTTGTTCCTCACACAAACCATGGCTTTAGAGAAGTTTTAATATAGTGTAGTGTCTAATGGACTGCTTTTATGGTGCTGTTTTGTCCTTTTTGGATCTTGACAGTAACTGAACTTTCTGCTAAACATCTCTTTGATGTACATACAATGATGTAAACTATCTTCAGTTCTTGTGTGAACCGTCCCTTTTAAGCCCAATGAGCCAAACCTGAAGTCTGGTTATTGATTTGGAAAAGTGTCTTCATGTGAATTTATCTTTACAAAAACGTTGGCCCTGAAATCAGAAGACATTTTTTCATTGTCAGTCTGGTCTGCACATAGACTATATATATAGAAAGACGGTGCTCTCATATTATTATGAATGGGAGAATGTGCAAATGGCAGAATAAGTCTGGCCTTCTAAATAAAAGAGCCAATTACTGATTGGTAAAGTGATCCCGTCACTGCAGCTGTCTGAAAAAAAAGCTTTTTTTAACACTTTTAATATAAGGAACTAGAGGCAGACCGATATTTCGGCTGGCCGATATTATCGGCCGATATTAGGAATTTTCCATAATATCGGTATCGGCAGTTATGATGGCCGATAAATGAATATTTAAAAAAATAAAATAAAAATAAATGAAACACACTTCAATCATCTCTCCTTGGCCTGTTATATTGAAAATGTATTTTTTACAACTTGCAGTATGATGTTATCTATTGCTAAATTATGGCTCATCATAGACTAGCTAACCACAAAGCAAGCTAATGCCAATATCATCAGTGGAAGACCGCTAACGTTAACATCAATGAGCTTGGAAACCACAATGAACTTTTTCTGCCTAAATAAAGTAATGATTACTATATTTATAGCTAGCATATCTCTAGTTACAGTCCCTGCATTGTAAAATGTAAGTTATACTTGCGAGGAGTAAACATTTAGACATAGAGAAAAAGTATCAAACGTATCTTGTGCAGAAAAGTTAGCTTTTCTTTTACATGTGTGTGAAGTCCAACAATATTTAATAAAAAATAAATAAATATCGGCCGATATATCGGAATATCGGATTTTAAAACCCAAAAATATTTGTATCGGTATCGGCCTTCAAAATCCTTTATCGGTCGGGCTCTATAAGAAACCATATTTATGAGACAGTTGTCAGATTTCATTGGTGATTTGATTTCAGATGTGAAATTTAATTATAAACCTGGTGAACAGCTTTGGAGAATTTGATGTTTCCCATTCAGAAAGATGGGAGCTGCACTTGCAAGACTGAAATAGATGCCTGAGAGGCATTTCAAAGATGGCCGCCGAGTGAAATGACTTGCCTGAAAGGGACTTTGGTTCAGCTTGCCTTAACTTGCCTTCAGAAACTGGATGAATCTTAGAGATGCAGAGACAGGGAAGGTTCTCTGGCAGGGAACTGAAGATCTCTCCCTTCCTGGGGTAGAACATGAAGGTTTGTGGTTCTCTCCATTACCTTGCATTAAAGATTAAACCATTGACTAGATTGGGCTACACCAATTCTTCTCTTATGTCCACTACTTCACTGCTCTTTTTAATGATGTCAAAGTGAGGTCGAGATCAGTTTTCAGTACTGAATTTGGTATAGAATGTGCCATGTCTGTTAACTAACAGATTTGATTTTGTTTTCCAGCTCGGGTTCCTAAGAAGATCCTGAAATGTAAAGCAGTCTCCAGAGAGCTGAATTTCTCTTCAGTAGAAAAATTGGAAAAATTCCGACTGGAGCAAAAAGTTTTCTTTAAAGGCCAGTGCCTAGAAGGTTGTTCTGATTCTTTCTTGCACATTGCACTTTTGCGATAACAAATGGCAATGATTGTAAATGCAAAATTAGAGGTCTCATTAGCAAGGTGTCTCTGGTTCTGAAATATCTAGATACATAGGCCCCGTTTACACGAGAACGATTCCGGGTGAAAACGCAAAAATATTTTATCGGATGTGCCTTTCGTTTACACGGCGACGGCGTTTTTGAGGCTTAAAAATGCAAAAAAAGTGAAACCACCCTGCAGAGTGGAAATCTTAAAAACGCTCCACCGCCGCGTTCCCGTGTAAACGGTAAAAACGCAAAAGTCTGCTTGACAGTGAAGGTTGTACGCAGGCGCATGGACTTGGTGTTGTTGTAGTATGCACTCCTAGCCACCTGAAGTGCATACTACATTGAATTTCACACACTTTTGCGTCACCATTTGCACGCGGATTTCTCACACAAAATGCTCGTCTAAACTCAGAATAAAAAGTGATTACGCAACGCCACTTTTGCGCTTTCGTGTAAACATAGTAGTCTTCTCAAGCAAGGAGCTATGTGTAAAATACAAATGTGGCTAAAAATACTATTTGATTATAATATTCCACTCATCAGCACTTTAACACAGCAGTCTCTGTAAATTACTGTTCAAGTAAATACACAAATGTGTTGTGCATTGTCTTTTTACCAGTAAGATACCATTCACACATCAGTACCAAAATACCAGTACACTGAACCTTTTTCTTCAGGTTCAGAGTACTCATTTTAGTTACTTTTTCCCCCCTTCTGAGTGACAGACTTAAAGGAGTAGTTCACTTTAAAAAAAACTTTTGCTGATAATTTACTCACCCCCATGTCATCCAAGATGTCCATGTCATTCTTTCTTCAGTCGAAAAAGAAATTAAGGTTTTTGATGAAAACATTCCAGGATTTTTCTCCATATAATGCACTTCATTGGGTGCCAAACGGTTCAAGGCCAAATGACAGTTTCAGTGCAGGCTTCAAATGGCTTTAAACGACACCAGACGATGAATAAGGGTCTTATCTATTTCGACTGAAGAAAGAAAGAAATGGACATCTTGGATGACATGGGGGTGAGTAAATTAACAGCAAATGTTTTTGCTCTTAAAAACACGAGACGCAGAATAGTTACGCATTGCAGTATGCAATAGTAATTGGAGAGCCACAAAGTTGATGAATAGAAAAAAAGGCAGGGTCCCAAGTACGAGACGGGGTGCAATAGTCAGACATCCGTCTAGCGCATGTTTATATTGAAAAAGCAGCAGAACTTACCATAAACCGCTCCGACATAGCAAACTTCTTACGTCTGTGCGTTATGACCTTGTTCGTGCTCATGCCGGTAATCTTCATTCTCTGTTCACACACAGCATCAAACGGGTAATTTACTGGTTATTTTACAACTTCTCATTACTGGTAAATTGATCTGTATTTTTGAAAAGGTCCTATTCACTTATGATCTCTTAATAAATTAGCAGTAAAGTTTGTTTGTGTGAAATGGCCTACTGTTAGCATGTGACCTTTATATGAGTGTCAATAGTGGCCATCTTAGGTCATAGTCTGGGTGGATTTAGATTTAAAGTAATCCAAATCAGGCACAGGTACATTTGAACATTTACGTATATACTAGGCTTAAGATTCTTGAATTAACCTGAACAGTATATTTTAAATGCAGTGTTTCTTTCGATTCAATTATTATTGTAATTATACAATTATTTTCAAAGAATTCACCTCTAATTCATGATACCACTGTCAGCCAGTATAAGTTTCATCTATACTTGTTTTCTTGGTATTGAAGAAAATGCTGATATTATATATATACTGATATTAATAGTAGCACAATTAGTTATTCATTATTATTACCATGATATTAACAACGAACATTCTTACAGCATTTATTAATATTAATCAATGTTCATTTAATTCAGTTAATTTTAACATTCAAACAAAACTAATTATAAAGAATGAACAATTATATTTTTGACTAACTAACATTAACAAAGACTAATAAATTTAAAACGTATTGCTCGTTGTTAGTTCATGTTCGCTAATGCATTAACTAATGTTAACAAACAGGACCTTATTGTAAAGTTTTACCAATATTAATATTAAATATCAATTTCCATTTTGTAATTCTAGACTTTGTCATGTTACTTTGTGTAATTGTGTGATAAAAGTGCTTGTGCATACAAATTCCTTTGAGCAAAGTTGCAAAAGATTTACAATCTTGGAATAGGGATTTGTATGCACAAGCACTTTTGAAACATGTTAAATTAGCCTATATAACTTGGACTCATGAATAGATGAGATTTTTGAAAGCTTGTGTGGGAAAATGTTTTTTTACTAGATTTGAAGTGTGTAAAAAGTATTTAATCCACAAAATGCTTACACATGTACCTTTTGTGTCTTTTCAGAGTGGTTTTTTGAGTTTGGCTTTGTGATTCCTAATTCTACAAACACATGGCAGTCTTTGATAGAAGCTGCACCAGAGTCACAAATGATGCCTGCAAATGTCTTAACGTAAGAGTTTCCTTAAATAAAAATGATTTATGAAAGTCAACATATTAGATATTCATAAAAGTTACTCATGGATTTATTATGGGTCAAATGTCTTCTCTTGCAGGGGTAATGTTGTTATAGAGACCAAGTTTTATGATGACGACCTTCATGTCAGCACGTCCCGGGTACGACTCTTCTACGTCTGAGACATGGAACCTTAATTGATTTTTTTTTTTTTTTTACTGTCAGTCCAGAGGATGGACCCATCACTACAAGTTTCAATGTAAAGAGGAGACACTTTACATACTGAGTATTTCTTCTGAGGCGCTGTGACAACAACATTAAAGGGAACATTCAAAACAGTTTCAAGACAAACGATTACACCAGTTTTATGGCAGATAAGGACTTGTACATAAGAGGTATCATGCTTATGACAACCTGGTTGTATAAATTACCTGTTTGTATATTTTTCTTCTTCTATAATTCAAACCTGCAATGTACACTGCTTCCTTAGCTGTTTTTAAAAGGGTTTCTCCCAGTCTGTGTGGTCATTCATGGTCTCATTGTTGTGTTTTGTTTTGTTTTTTTTAGTTAAACTGTAAGATAGTCTGTGTTTTAAAATAAATTATGTAATTATGGATTAAAATATTGATATTGATGTTTTCTCACATTTCTCCCTCAACCAATTTTTTTTTTTAATAAATGTTTATATTACAAAATTATGGCAGATTTAACATAAAAAATAAGTGAAATATAAGAACAAATCAGAATTAATTCAAAGGTTTTAGTATATTTTGTGCTTTACATGGATCACATTAATGAAACCCACAGAATAAATTAGTTTTTACAAAAGAGAATATTTATATCCAGTTAAAATATCTTAATGGTAGTCATAAAGTTTGTTTTAATTTAACGCATAAAACCTTAGAATTAGCCTATAATTATTTTCTAAAGGGTGCCTATCTACTATGATGAAATGTCCAAAGTGAAATACCCAAGAGTACTACATTACCCAGAATTCTTTCCGGTAGGAGCGGAAGTTGTTCGTGACGACCTTGGGTAGCTCTTGCAAGCATGGCGAATAAAGAGTCTAACGTGAGTATAATGTCTTAATTCTTAAAAAAATACCTTAAAATATTTTTATTTGTATACATACTAGGTAATGTTAATCCCTACTTTTTTACACGCTGTAATATTCAGCTTTAAGCCAGCTTGGTTGCTGAAATTTGAACAGAAAGAGTGTTACATGTGTATTAAATGACCAGTAAGTTAAGCCTGTTCTGCTCTCAAGAATTAAACTTGAATTAAACCTGTTGCCTGGCCTCTTAATTAGACCGTATAGTAGGAATTTAATAATCAATCGTAATCAATGTTTACTCTGATTCTCTATAGCATGATCTGATGCTGAAATCCTGACTCCTGATGCCCGGCTTGTCTAATAACTAGACTGTTGGGAATTTTATTTTTAATATCACCGGTACTGAAGTTGTCGTGATACAAACGGTAGTTTTTGAAAGAATTAAAACTAACTTAATTGTGTTTCTACTTGTAAGTCTAATTTGTTTATTACTGTATACGCTTCCATATTCAGAATGTCAACTCATGAAGTAATTCTCAGACATGGTTATTATTAAGACTTTTATTAAGAAATATAAAAAAATTTAAGCTTTGTTTACCCCCAAGGTGGATTTTTTTATGAAAAGAAATGTCATAAATTACTCATCCTCATGCAGTTCCACACCCGTGACACTTTCGTTCATATTTTAAACACAATTTTTTTTTTTAATGTCCCTCCATTGACAGTCCACGCAACTACCACTTCAAAATGTTCATAAACGGGTAGTAAAATTAATCCATATGAATCGAGAAGTTTTCTGCAGAGACTTGCTTTATGATGAACAAATTGAATTTAGGCTTTTATTCACATATAAACTTGATCAGCGAAAATAAACAGAAGCTCAACTGCACTTGCTTGATGCCAGGAACAAACCTCATTGGCTTTTCAATGGCTCTGGCTTAAACCAGACTCATATCACACAAAATTAATTAATCTCAATGGTTCTTCTCGTACGTCAAGCAAGAAAGCATGCTTGAGCTTCCGCTTACCGTATCTGATGTGTGACGCCTTGATGAACAGTGGTATTTTTGTGGACTGTCATTGGAAGGACCGAAATCTCTCAATTTCATTTAAATATTTTCATTTGTGTTTTGAAGATGAACAAAAGTCTTACTGTTTTGGAATGGCATAAGGGTGAGTAAATTGAGAGTGAACTAACCTTTTAAAATATTTTACTATTAATGCTACAGTCATATTTTCATATATAATTTCCAATGAAAATGAATGTTTTGTTGTTTTTGTTATTGTGGTGTTGTTGTTTTTGCTTATTTGTACTTTAACAGAGGTTCCTCCAGCACTTGAGAGATCTCGCCGGACGCATGTCCTCTGGCTCAAGGGGTGCTGGGATCGGACTAAAGATATTAATTGGAGCAGGTGCACTTGCTTATGGAGTCAAAGAGGCAACATATACAGGTACATCCAGTATTGCATTAGAAAACGTCTTAGAAACAGCTCCTTTCTAGTGCCATTCAACCATTCAAAAGATTAAGAAGAATGAGAAAAATAATACTTTTAGCAAGGACGCATTAAATCGATCAAAAAAGTGACAGTAAAGACGTTCAGTCAATGTTAAAATATATATTATGAAAAAATACTGTCCTTTTGAACTTCCTGTTCATCAAAGAATTCTAGAAATGTCATGGTTTTTTACAAAATTATTAAGCAGCACAACTGTTTTCCGCATTTTGATGAAAATAATTACAAATGAATGATTTGTGAAAGAAAAACATTTATTTTAAATTGTAATAATATCTCACAAAATTGCAGTTTACTATATTTTTGATCAAATAAATGCAGCCTGGGTGAGCTTAAGAGACTTCTGTAAAAAAAAAACATTACAAAATCTCACTGACCCCAAACTTGTGCAAATGTACTTTTCAAATTCATATTAAAAGTAGATGATTGGTAATGTCATATCTCACACTAATGGTCTTGTCTTCAGTGGAGGGTGGTCAGCGAGCAATTATCTTTAATAGAATTGGAGGGATGCAGATGGACACAGTCCTTGCTGAGGGTCTCCACTTCAGGTGAGCTTTTTAATGACTTGTTGAAAAGTTTTCTGTATGAAAGCAAACCCTATGTTTGATCTTTCCATAACAAAAAAAGGGAAATTGTAGTTCTAAAGAAATTATTTTTTTGTGACATTCTTCTTATAGGATACCATGGATTCAATATCCAATCATTTATGACATAAGAGCCAAACCAAGAAAAATATCATCTCTAACTGGAAGCAAAGGTAAAAAAAAAAAAAAAAAAAAAAATGTTTCATTTACTTTTAATGGCCTTACTTTGTTTACTACCATTTTGAACATGGTCATAATATGTTCATCGTATTGATTATAGTTTATTTAAAAATGGCTGCCCAATCTGAAGTTACTTGGAGGAGTAATGTTGTTTGTAATGGTGTCAGACCTGCAGATGGTGAACATCGCGTTGCGTGTGCTGTCCCGTCCGGTGGCTTCCAACCTTCCCATCTTGTACCAGCAGCTGGGAAAGGACTATGATGAGCGTGTGCTGCCGTCCATTGCAAATGAAGTTCTGAAGAGTGTGGTAGCCAAATTCAATGCCTCCCAACTAATTACACAAAGAGCCCAGGTTGGTATTCTCTCACAATCTGGCTTCACAAATTAGTTCTAGAACCTACTGTAATATCCAGGATGTATATTTAAAGGAAGGGAATATCCAGATCACTATAGACCATTTCACAAAATGTAAACAACACTGGTCCAGAAGCACTTCCTGTTTCAGTTTTTTAACGCTACATAAAAGCTGGGATAAAATACAACCAACAGAACATTTAAAACTGAATCAAAAAGTTAAACCAACATCTTTAAGATGTTTTCTTTACATGTGAAATAAAGAAAACAGTTACAAACTGAAACAGGAAGTGTTTCTGGACCAGTGTTGTTTACATCTTGTGAAATGGTCTATACTAAATGATTGTCTCTTTAATCTTTTTTGACCATTGATTGCATGCAGGTCTCTATGCTCATCCGACGGGAGCTGTTTGAACGTGCCAAAGACTTCAACATTATCCTCGATGATGTGGCCATCACAGAGTTGAGCTTCAGCAGGGAGTACACAGCAGCTGTGGAGGCCAAACAAGTTGGTAAGTAAAATTCTGTTCTTGAGTGCCGTAGCACAAAATATGTACATAGTTACTGTAATAAAAAATATAATTTTTCAGCCCAGCAGGAGGCCCAAAGAGCTCAGTTCTATGTGGAGAAAGCAAAGCAAGATCAGAGGCAGAAGATCATCCAAGCTGAAGGAGAGGCCCAGGCAGCCAAAATGGTATGAGATTCTTATTTAAAATATGTATTTTAACCAAAGCTCATGGGTATTTTAAATATTATATTATATCACATCATATTTTATCATATGTTATACATTCAGAAACAATGGTGTGTCTTTAAAAACACTCTTTTGTGCAGAACTATTTCTGTCCGCCCCGTATTAAAATCTCAAGTTGACAGTTTAACAGTTGAGCCTAAGCCTCCATTACTAATTCTAAAACATTACTTTACAACTAGTAGCAAATGAATGTGGGTCGCTTCATTGAAGCCCATTGTATTATCTAGCCTATTGACTAGAGTATTATGGTATTATGAGAGGGAGATCGACTAAACGAGTGTATTACATGCATCTGATATAGCATTCTTCAGGTCGATGTGCATAATATTATATATCCATTATAAAAAATCAGTTTGAAAGTCCGCTGTGCAAAGCGATGTCTTCGGCTTTGTGCTTTTAAAAGTTAATACCTGAGCTAATACCTTGCTGAAGACTTTGTCACCATCTAATAGGGTAAATAATGAATAATGAATATCGCACGGCTGGAAAAGGCCCTCAGCCAGTCAGATTCGAGAAACAGATTATATTTTATGTTATTATTTGAATTATATTATATTTTTTGTTTTATTGTTATTAATATTTAGATTAGTATTAAGGTTAAAATTTATTTTAAAGTGTCCTTGTTACAGTGTAATTATATATTTTTAAGTACTGAGTAACGGCCTGGTTTCACAGAAAAGGCTTAGATTAAGCCAGGATTAGGCCTTAGTTCAAATAGAACATAAAGTAGCTTTTATAAAATAGCATGCCTTATAAAAAAATAAAAAAAAACACTGGTGTGCATCTTGAGACAAAACAATGGCATTGGCATATTTTAAGATATGTCAGTGCAAGTTGCTTTCAGTTAAAACAGTTGAAACATGCTTTTTAGTCTGGGACTAGTTTAAGCCTTGTCTGTGAAACCGGGGGATTATCAATTATCTACATGTACTTACTGTAGGGTTAGGATTAGGTTTTGGGATTTAATAATAAATATTATTAATGTGTCTTTTGTGAAAAGTGTTATATGAGAAATGTATTTTGGTTTCTAATTCACAGTTAGGAGAGGCCGTCACAAAGAATCCTGGATACCTTAAACTCAGAAGAATCAGGGCAGCGCAGAACATTGCCAAAACGGTACAGTTATGATTTACTTCTTTCCACAGCTATGTGGCATTTTGCTTATTCATCATTTTTAATGAGTTTTCCTGATGTAAATGGTTCTCTTTGGATAAAGGTGTTTTTCACCAATGTAAATATTTGATGTTCACTAGCAGTTCTGCCAAGGTTCGGCTGGTTACACACCAGTCCTTTTGGAAAAAGCTGAATGTTTTATGTCCTTTTTGAAAGCCCTGACCAGATGAAGGTTGTTTTCCAGGTGGCAGTTTCACAGAACAAGGTGTACCTGAACTCCGATAGTCTGGTTCTGAATCTACAGGATGACTATTTTAACAAGTAAGAACTATAGCTATTTGCTTTATAGACCATTTTGCAAGATGTAAACAACACTGGTCCAGAAGCACTTCCTGTTTCAGTTTTTTAACAGAACATATAAAACTGAATCAAAAAGTTAAACAAACATCTTTAAGATGTTTTCTTTACACGTGAAATAAAGAAAACAATTACGAACTGAAACAGGAAGTGTTTCTGGACCAGTGTTGTTTACATCTTGCAAAATGGTCTATACATCAAGTCTCTTCCTGTATGTATGCTAATAATACCAGTATAGTCTGCATGACCCCTCAAAATACATTTTTGTCTTTGCTCTGTGCATAATTAATTGCTTTGTGTAAAAGTTTAATTGATGTTGGCAAAATCTTTTTTGCATTGCAGATTGTCACTCGGAAAGAAGTAACCCGTTCAAATAGCTCTCGTTCTAATTGTCAGAGGTCCTATTACAAGAAGCCGTATGTGTGTCCTTTGAGATGGCTTTTTCTGATTGGGTCACAAATGGATATGTCATTCTGGGGAAGACTCATTAAATATCTAATGGTGTAGACCTGGTTTGTCAGTTAAATTTAACTCCACAATTTGCTGATGATCAAAACACTACAGATTTGAGTTAATGAATGAAGGCAAAAATGTTCAACTGGACCAGAGCATTCAATTCTTTTCAACATTGATTGTTGCAACAGGAAATATGCATCTTTAAATGATACAATAGATGATCAAGGCTGGTTGAAAAAAAGATCCATCCATTCTTTTAGGAATGATTTATGTCTTTGCTGAAATGTAATACATACAGTTGTATTTATGTGAGACAAAATGACTGCTAATAAAAACTTTCATATGTTATATCAGTTTCATGCCTTTTTGATGATCACCCTAGTCTTTGAATGGGCTTTATGCACAGCTGCACTACTTCCTGAACTTAAGCCAGCTCCTTGTTTCCTGTCTGCCATTATTGGCCCAATTGATTAATTCAGGTGTTTCTGATTATTGTTGCCGTGACTACTGAGGTCAGGCACACCTGGATTAATCAATTTGCTGGCTTACAAGGAGCTGGCTTAAGTTCAGGAAGTAGTGCAGCTGTGCATAAAGTCCATTAACCCCAGAATATTTTAATCCTAAATTATTTATTTATTTATTTTTTTTTTCATCTATATATTTCATGGTATTTTACTATGAAACTTTTGGTATTAAACTAACCTGAACTATACAAACATCACTCCACCATTCGCTTCTGGTAACTCAATCTGCCTCTCTTCTTACCCTTTGAACGGCCTCTTTCCTCCCCCAAAACTCAGAAGGTAGGGGCTTGTTTAGCTCTTCTATTGGCTCTTGTCTATTTTCAGCCTTTAAAAAGGCACCAACATTAGATACTGAGCCTTTTGTCAGGCTGCATACTGCATAGTTAAATTAGTAAAAACATGCTACCATTTTTGATGATGGAAAAAAAAATTCTATGTCTAAGTATATTGGCCAGATAATATGAAAAGGCACTCAATTTTTATTTGAAATATTTGAATTCTTTGAAAAGTGTTAAAGCGATTTCAGCATAATTATTAATGCCGCATTTTAATGCAATTTTTAATGCAATCTTGTCTTGTGCAAACTTTGCATTGGCACAGTGTACAAAGATATGGTGGGATGATTTTTTTTTATGGACATGATTTCAGGCATGTCTGTGTGAAGGTCATGCATGCATGAACAAAGATGTTTGTTTTTTTGTTGTTGTTTATTAAGGTTACTTTAAATCGTTTTTAGGATATAATTGTTGTCTATACAAAAGATTCTTTTCTGGTGGCACAGTCTTTTAAAGTAGCTCATCTATATCACTGAATTCAAAACAACTTTAAATTCAAATCTAAGCTAAAAGTATACATCACACACACACACACACACACATATATATATATATATATATATATATATATATATATATAATATATATATATATATATTAGCTAAATTATACAAACTATAAACAAAAATCAGAAACATTTTTCCTCCCAGAATTTGTTCTGAACACAGTTTTTAATATTTGATATTAGAAAGGAATAAAGAAAAAAAAAACAATATATAGAAAGTCATGCAGTGGCCAGATGGGAATTGTCGATATGAAATATGTTGATTTTATAGTGCGAAAAATAGGTCTGTATGATTTCTCCAGAAGAATGTATAGAACTGCAGTGGCACACGGGTGGATATAGATGATTTATTTTTCCAGTTTTGTTGAATGCTGTTTTTTTGGGGGGATTATTGAAGACCTTTTTTCAGGGGGGCATAGTAGGTCAAGGCTGTCCGCGTAATCTTAGACATAATGTTGGGGACAATGGGACGGATTTAAGGATTTGAGTCAGTGGATGCAGCCTGAGATTTATGCTGTAGAAATAGAGCAATTTTTTACGGGTGTTTTAACTGTATTTTGAATAACGCTTTGTGCAGTTTTAGTTTTTTTTTACAGTGTATCTGTATTGGAAAAAACAAACAAACAAAAAACACTGTAGCTTGTTTTTTGTACATATATAAAAAAAACTCCTTTAGATTTAAGAAAAAGCATTAAGATGGAGTGTATAATTTCTGAAAGAATTGATCGAATGTAACCATGTGTGTAGTTTATTGATGTATCAATCAATGATATATCATATACTGCCATTATATCCGCAATATGCCAGTTCTAAGAAATATCAACACTGACAATTGAAAAGCCCATAAGCCAAACACTGCTCTGTTTAAGAAATAAGTTATTCAGTATGATTAATTTCTTTGTCACAGTTTAACCAGAGCTCAGGCTACGATTTTTGCAAGCAACTGAGAAGTCGCTGACTGCCTGCATGTTTCAGTGGATAATCGGGGGTTGTGTTAACGCTCTTATATGTCTGTTGTCTAAGTATAATTCGATTATATTAAGCCCATTGTGTACGTGTGACTATGGAACTGTAGCTTATTGGTGTCAGACTTGCTAAAGGGCCCCACTAGGTGGCACTCAACACCTAATACTGTCCTACATGGCATCACATTACTTTCAGCTGCTGGGATTGTCTGCTAAATAAAACTACAAACGTTTGAGCTTGGGCTCAAGTCAAGTCTGTTCCTGTAGTTTTCATAACGTACAGCTGGGTTAAGAGTGACGCCACACGTGTGTGGCCTCAGGCATTAAAGCTTGAATTCATCCTTAATGGACCCCTATTCAAGGTCCCTCTTTAAAATGAAAAGCTCTGTTAATGGAGAGGGGGTTTGTGCCACATGCTTATTCATGAAAGTGGGCTGTATGTCAGCGAACACTGCTGAAAAAACATAAACACAGCCCTCCCTAAGTTCTAGTTGTGGATGACCAACAACAACCATGTTTTAGTCAAAGACTTCTGAGAGAATAATTTATTTATTTATACATTTTGGAACGTTGAAATGCAGTTTAAGTGGTTCAAGCATGGATGGATGCATTTATACATACCAACCTTGGTGTGTTTATAAAGCTTTAAAGGGATAGTTTACACAAAAATAATTAATCATTAATTACTCACACTCATGTCGTTCTAAACCTAACACTTTCGTTCATCACGGAACACAAATGAAGATTTTTTTTTTAATGAAATCTGAGAGCTTTCTGTTCCACCATTGACAGCCTACGCTGTTAGTACTGCTCTTAGTAAAAATCAAACCGTACTGTTCTCCACACATTGATCTACGCATCTGGTTTGCTGAAAATAACAGTACAACAGACAGACAGAGTTAGGCTAATCAATGTTTGTTTCTGATGATGGATACACATTCTGGCTTCCCCTAAACTTTGTTTCACTAGTTCACACTTACAAATAAGTTAGATAGAATAAATAGTATGCATATTTGGTATGTGTCCGGAGAGAGGGCTCTGAGCTGGATTTGGCCCGAACCCAGAGTATCCTCTGTATTGCTGGTTAAGGAGTAACCAGGTGAGTGTGAGGACACAGGGTGGAGGAGGATGCTGAAAAATTGTCGAGGAACATTGGTGAGTCAA